GGCGGCAGCCTGCTGGGGCGCTCCCGCAGCGCAGCCGGATCCGGGAGGAGCCGTCGGGCCTCAAAGCCAAAACTGGCGTTTGCAAGCGGGTGTCTGCTGACAGGAGCCGATTGCAATCGGCCGTGGCGTTTCCCGCTGCAAAAGGCTCGCAGCGAGCTCCGTGTCCGCCCCAGCGCTCCTGCCGTTCTGGAGTTCAGCGGGAGCAAAGCTCGGCGCAGAGGGAGGGATAGGCTGGGAGCTGCCTCAAGGTGTCTGGCTTGTAACCACAAAGTGGGGATTTCGAGTGGTTTCCAATAAATGATGTCTTGGTTGGCAGCGTGAGTGTCCCGGTAGCTTCACTCAGTCCCCACAGCCAATTTCAGTGTTTCTGTAGTGGCAGATGAGCAGGGAGAAACGTTGTTTTTTCCCCCAAAACTTGCAGCGCTGGTTCAGAACTGCCGTGTGAGCCTGCACTTGGAGCCCAGGCTGTTCATCCCACTGAGATATACACTTCAAATACTTTCCGTCAGTCCTGATTAGCCCCTTGCGAAGGTTTCATAGACTTTATTTTAATGACTATGCAACAGGCATGAGGAAATTCTTAACAGAAAGATGCAGGTATCTAATCATAGTCTAGAGCTTAGGTCAGTGTAAAAAGTTACATAAAATGCTGCCAGTTTCAGCAGAGACAAAACATGAGAAGTCTAAGGAATTCCAGCCACCTTCTCAAAGCGCTTTTTTTTTTTCTTGTCTTACCCAATTTCACCTTTCCTCATCGCAGTAAATCTGACCTCTCCCTCTTGCCTCATGGCTTGTCTGTACAAGCTAGGCCCTTGTACCAAGGGTATGTGTTGGGGCACGTTAGTCCTTTAGTTGTGTTATAACTACACCAGGGTAGAGAAGTTTTTTTTTTCTCTGTTATGTGAGAATGAGAGATTTTTGAAAACTTTGACCAGTGTGGTGTTGCAAGGTACCATGCTCTCCCCACAGCCTGTGTCAAGAGGAGACGGAGCTCTTATCCACGGCCAGTGTGGCTCTCCCACACGGCAAAGTTGAGCCCTAGCCTTGCAAGATGATGGACCAGCTATGCAGGTTCCCAGCTCTGGTTTCAAAGTGTTTTGTCTGATTTGGTCATAGTTTCCAAGTGACTACGATCAGTGAAAGCTGAGCCCTGAGACTGAATTCTGACTTCAGCAAAACTTATGTTTGACTTCCAAAGGGGCAAAGAGTGTGGATTTTCGTTTTCAAGAGTAGGAGGAAAGGAGGAAAGCTGAAACGGAGCTTCCCTGAAGTTTGACCTCCTGTTTATTCTACTGGGGTGTGATAGCATCTAGAAAATCAACATAAACTCTTTAGCTGAGGGCTTTTTCCTCCCAACTGTGGCTCTGCTTGTCTCCTTTTTGGATAAGATAGCAATGAATGTGGAAGGGCAGGCTCTGCGGTATCTTCCTTTGCCTGTTGGTTTGTGCTATATATGCATGCAGCCCTGACAGAGCCGGCTTAGGGCTCCTCAGCAATTTTGGCAAAATCAAATGCTGTACTTCTGAGATGAAGGGCCTGCCAAGAAAGGGACATATCTGAGCCACAGCAGAAAGCCTTGGAGGCCTGCTGGAGGTGTCTGGGAGGAATGAGGGCTTCTGCTGAAGAAGGCCAAGTAGTACTTACCTTGGAGGCAAAGAAAGCACCAACCCAGCCTTCTAGGGCTGTGGCATTGGCGAAGAAATCCTGTGAAAACTACTAGAGAAGTCTCTGCTTTGTCTAGATGTGACCTTAATTTGTGCAGTGATAGTAATTTCTATTGCTTTGGGAAATACACTGAGAGGCAAAACACTGACGAGAGTCAACCACAGAAAGGGAACTATCTCAAGAAAGGGAAGGAGGGCATAGAGGATGCACGGAGGAAATGTATTTGAAGATGTAACTTATTTCCTGCCCAAAGCCTTTTTGATAAATATACCAAGGTATGCTTGTCCCATCATAAATACATGGAAGGAGAGAGTTTAATAAGCTGTTTGAATCCATAAACATATGGGTGACATTAATGAAAGTGACTTGCATTTGCCTGTGACTCTTGAGTGAGTGCTAGGAAGTCCTCTTGTTCGTAGAAGGTCTAGAGCTAATTCTTCACCCTTTGAAAACTGACCATTTGGTGTATTATGTCATCCTGCAGGTAGAAGGACACAGAAAAGAAGATGGACTGGGGAACTCTGCAGGCCGTTTTAGGAGGTGTAAATAAGCACTCAACCAGTATTGGGAAAATATGGCTCACAGTCCTATTCATCTTCCGTATCATGATCCTGGTTGTGGCTGCAGAGAGAGTCTGGGGAGATGAACAACAAGATTTTGTCTGCAACACACTTCAGCCTGGGTGCCGAAATGTTTGCTATGATCACTTTTTCCCCATCTCTCACATCAGACTCTGGGCCCTGCAGCTGATCTTTGTTTCTACACCTGCGCTGCTGGTGGCCATGCATGTAGCTTACACCAGGCACGAGAAGAAAAGGCGGTTCAGAAATGGTGAGAAAATTGATATAGAAGAGCTGAAAAATGAAAAGATTCACATTCGGGGCCCTCTGTGGTGGACGTACACCAGCAGCATCTTCTTCAGGATCGTCTTTGAAGCAGTCTTCATGTACGTGTTCTATTACATGTACGATGGGTACCAGATGCCTCGCCTGGTGAAGTGCAATGCATGGCCCTGCCCCAACACAGTGGATTGTTTTGTGTCTCGGCCCACTGAGAAAACCACATTTACTATTTTCATGCTTGCTGTGTCTGGGATCTGCATGATGTTGAATCTGGCTGAGTTGTGTTACCTAGTGATAAAAATTTGCATGAAAGAATCCAGGAAAACAACGGTTTTAAAATAATTCCCCAGTTTCAGGATTTCCTAGCTCCCCATTTCCTTCAAACTTTCTTAGGTGTCAGAAAACAATCAGCAATATTTTCACACTCGAGGAAAAAGATAAAAATGAAAGTTCATTCATGTTTTAGAAATGATAGCCTCCCTGAATCTTTGTTTACACCTGCGCTGCTGGTGGCCATGCATGTAGCTTACACCAGGCACGAGAAGAAAAGGCGGTTCAGAAATGGTGAGAAAATTGATATAGAAGAGCTGAAAAATGAAAAGATTCACATTCGGGGCCCTCTGTGGTGGACGTACACCAGCAGCATCTTCTTCAGGATCGTCTTTGAAGCAGTCTTCATGTACGTGTTCTATTACATGTACGATGGGTACCAGATGCCTCGCCTGGTGAAGTGCAATGCATGGCCCTGCCCCAACACAGTGGATTGTTTTGTGTCTCGGCCCACTGAGAAAACCACATTTACTATTTTCATGCTTGCTGTGTCTGGGATCTGCATGATGTTGAATCTGGCTGAGTTGTGTTACCTAGTGATAAAAATTTGCATGAAAGAATCCAGGAAAACAACGGTTTTAAAATAATTCCCCAGTTTCAGGATTTCCTAGCTCCCCATTTCCTTCAAACTTTCTTAGGTGTCAGAAAACAATCAGCAATATTTTCACACTCGAGGAAAAAGATAAAAATGAAAGTTCATTCATGTTTTAGAAATGATAGCCTCCCTGAGAAGCTGCCACTGAGGCAGGTTTTAAAGATCATGAGCTAATTCAGTATTCCTGCATCCACAAATAGAGAGAGCAGCCTTCTGGCAGCAGCTTTTCCAAGTATGCCTACTGCTGGGGTCCTGTTGTTGGGACAGAGTCACTTTTCAAAAAGTGGGAGCAGAAGGGCCCAGAGAAGGCTCTAGTGCCCAAAGGAGAGCCAGGAATCACAAATGCACTGTGTCATCTTCAGAGGTGAGCCAATAACAAAGGGTTTCGGTCAAAAGCGGGGTGAAGGGCTTTTGGGGGGAACTTACAGCTAAGACACGGAAGTGATTGTGTTTAATAGCAGGTGTCCTATTCTTTCTCTTAAGTATTCTGGAAAGTGAGGAAAGGGCCTAGGGACACAGGTACTCCATGGCAATGCATGCTATCAGCTCTGCTGGGCACCAGCAATGGTTTTTATCATTTTATCTCCTCACCTGCACTGGGGAGCGTTTCCTACAGGGTTGGGGGTGGCCAGTCTCAACTGCTTGTGAATGTCATTAGGTCAGTGCTGCCTCCCTCCACTCACAGGGGCTGCAGCAGTGGGAGGAATGAAGTTTGTTTTTTCATTCTCTTGGCCAGGTGAAAAAAAGGATTGTCACCTTTGGGAAGGTGGGGGCAGTGCAACTGTCTTCCTGTTCTCTTGTTCTCCCCTGACACTTTGTGAAGAATCTCAGTACAGTAGATTTTATTCAGTGAAGAGACTTTTTACCACCTGACTGTGCCTCCTTCGGCTGTGTACCTTTAAAAGGGTCTTTTTTTTTTTCAGTAAAAGCCAAGAAAGATTGCCTTGTTTCATTCTGTTATCCAAAAGAAGTGCTTCAACACTTACAGCATGATATGCAGTAGATTGCACCTACCAGCACTCCTTCAATCAGTCCCTTTTTCCTATGCAACCTGCACAGCTTTTCTTCATAAAACCTTCTCCCTATCTGAGGTACCTTTCAAGTGAGTCCATCAAACCACTCCCAATCTCTCTGACATTCCACACTGTGAGAATGAATCACCCTTCCTCTTCTTACAGTAGGTCTAGCAGGAATTACAGACAGCTTGCAGAGCTAAAATAGCAAAGGGACCCAGTCAGAAATGAGGAGGAGCTTGATATTTTTCTTAAAGTTCACATTGCTGAGCTGTAAATTGTATATTACTAACTTGAAGAACTATGTGAGTCAGTCTGGTCTTGTCTCTGCAAAGTAGTCTCAAGATGTGTTTTATGCCTGTCATAGGCAGCTACACCAGCCCATACAGCAACACAGTTTATCTCCCAAGTGCCTGCCCATTGAACCCACTTCTAGAAAACTGGCTGTTTCTCCTCCTTAGCTTTATTAACTGGCTTTTTCCCAAAATGAATGAGCACTATCTCAGCTTCTCTATTTGCATCCATCTCTTACTGTACATTTAAGTTTATCACTGTTGGAGTAAACAAAGCTGCATTAATTAAGACCCATGACCCCTCACTGTGCACTGGAAGTGGAGCATAAGCAGGCTCCCATTGCTTGTGAGCTACATCCAGTGTTGCAACTTGACTGCAGATGGAAATCTGTCATCTTAAGAGGGGAGCAAGAAAAACATAAAAACCCCATCCTCAGAAGCATGAACAAAAAGATGGAAAGTCATTAATAATGAGCTGAACTGGAAACCTGGACTGTGAAAACATCCTTAATTCAACTCTAAAGAACAAAGCTTGGCACATACCAGGTTTGTACTTGGTGAAGTTCCTGTATTGTTCCGTGTACAAGTATGAAGAGAACAAACTATCTACGCTCCCAGTGCTCTAGTATTACATTTCTTTTGTAACAACAGGATTTTTTTTTTTGGTGAAATTATAATTAAAGCACTCTTGTGGTGTCTGTTTTCTGTATTACTTGTACGTGCCATGTATTACCTAATGTGTCTAATGAAAATCTGTTTACCATAATGGAAAATATATGCACCAGTGCTACATTTAATAGCCAAGGGCTACTGCAAGGTTTATAGCCGCCTGCTGCAGGTTGGTTTTTCAATTGGTTACATTGCCTGTTATCCTGCAGACTTCATGAGCTGGTAGTGGAAGATCACATATGTGACCCCTACTAGAAATCAAATGTGCCTAAGTCAGCCTTGTACTAGCAGAACTGCAGCTGGAAAAGGCTGGTGATAAATAACTTAACCAGCTCCTTAGGGGAGAGAGTTTGTTTTCACAGCCTGCCTTTGAGTTTAACTGGAACTTGGAACGAGACACACCAAAACTGGTAACACTTACACTATGAGGTTATCTTCAGCTAGCAGTTTGGCAACCAGATTATCACACAGGGAAAAAAAATAGAAATAGGGAAAGAGTCTGGAAGTGGCCAAGAGAGGGCTTTGATCCGGAACTGCAGCATCAGGTGATAATAGCTCTACCAGGACGTATTTACTGTCTGAGATTTCTCAGTGTATATTAAATTTGACTAAATAGCTGCTTTGTAGGGGAAAAAAGTTAATCTATTTCATAGGAACATAGGAATTGCACCTATTTCTACATGTGCTACATTGCATGGTTTACCTCCTACAAATGGATTTCATACAGATTAAAATACAGTGCTGTGTTGGAATTGTGTGTGTTCTTTCCTGAAATACACTAGAAGTGTCTACATTTTTGGCACGGGGTTCCTAGACTCTTGTCAGAATGAAGGCTGCAAGAGTGTTGAAGACTGAACCAGCAAATCTGAAGTTATGACTGTAAAAGAGGCTGATTCTTCACTGTCTAGTGTCCAGTGTAGCTAGGATATAAAGCGTCAAATAATGTGGTATCAGAACTGGGAAGTGTAGGAGTGGGACTGGCTAGAATTATACCATGATTGAAATCACCAGGAGAAATCACCATTGACTTCATCAAACTAAACTTTCATCCAAAACCTTGAAACCAAAACTACAAACGTGTTTGTCAGAAAGGGGGAGGGAGGTGAAGCAAACTTCACTATTAACTCATAGACCCAGCTAGAGAAAAAAACCCGAACTCCCATGAGAGAAAGACTGATTTAAAAGGAAATTGGAAGTATAAATCTGTATTTATGACTTCTGGATGTAGAAGTACCTTTATTAAAGGTTTTCTTAGACAAAAATAAAAAAAATCCTTCAGATGTTTTACGGTTATCATGAGCCAATGTACTGTGTTATTTCCTATCTGACAGCAAGAATATAAAAGACAAATGATATGGTCCATACAGAGAAGAGCACTCCTGTACCATGGAGGTTCAATTCAAAATAGCAACACTGTTAAAAGTTGCTTTATTTTGTAAAAAGTGTATTGCAGCAAATAAGCAACAGCTAAGAGCACTTTACTACAAACTGAACTTGGTGAAAATGAATCTCTTTTCTTCCCAATCATAATTCCCTCCCCTGCAACTTAGGCTAATGAGTTTTACCAGGCAACAAAATCACACTCAAAGAATTGCACTGTATTTTGTGGTCACCTGTTCTGATATTCAGGACAGCCACTACCCTGGGTGTTAATTACGGGTTTCTTTGGATTTTCGCTATCTTATTATCTATACAGTCATTTGAACCTGTTTGTAGACAGTGGCAAAAGTAATGGTAACTATCTGAGGCTTAATGAGCTAAGACTGATGGTAATGATCTTCAAGATAGTTCAGGAGGTACATACACTTTTTTCCCCATCTGACCAACCTAGCTTGTCATCGTCATTTTCTGTCACAGAATATATTTCTCTTCTGTAAAGTTGGCCCAGCTCTGATCTGGGTATTTTCTCTCTAAGCCTTCCTAGCCACCAAAAAAAAGTCTTTGTATCCTAGGTTTGGAAATGTATTAAGCTTTAATTGGCAGGTCCAGCTGAGGAAACAAGTCACATCTCCGACTTTCCACCTTTGAGAACATAGCTTGCCTCTGCTATGGTCGGTCCCCTAGTACTACCATAGAATTCAAAATTGGCCACATAATTGCACATACCTCTCCCTTTTTCTGCCCGTTAAATCACTGCCACTAACTCAATGATTATTTTACATCTGCCTGCTCTATGTTCAATCCATTGTATTTGAATAGGCCATTAACTAAAAAATATCCTCTCCAAGAATACCACCAGGTAGCCAGATGCTTGCACAAGCCTTTCTGGTAAAGGAGTGATATGGTGTTGATATGACATACAGTTTAGGGAAGTATGTTTTGAGTGAACTGATAGAGAACATATACAGTTGAGCTATGAATCACTGCAGGTTGTGGATGAATGTTTTGAACAGCAGTGTATATTCTGTGTGCTGCTAAGAACAGTATTTCACTCATAGTCCG